TATTATTATTAATTATTATTATTAATTATTATTATTATTATTACGACTACTACTACTACTACCATTGTATTACTGTTAGTGTGTAGTAATCAATAGTTATCATTACTATTAACTTTCCATCACTATCATCATTTTTTCTTTCCATTATTTACTTCATATATTAAAAAAGTACGAAGCAATAATGATTGGATTAATCATGGAATACTAATTAAAGTTATAAAATTCTAATCATATCGATCAATTTCTTTGTTCATTACATTTTTCCTTTTCCTTTTTTCCTCTCCTCTCTCTCTCTCTTTTCTCTTTCTTTTTCCTCCTTCTCTTTGTATCATTATTCTGTTCATTTAATTTTTAGAAATCGATCGAAAATTTCATCAAAATATAGAAATTATTTTAATTTTAAGAATTTCTCATTTATCCTTTTCATTATTTTTATTTTATTTTTTTTTTTATAAGGATAAATTATTGTTGTATTTGGAAAAATTGAACCACAAAATCTCTTTCATTAAGTATATATTTATAATTTATATGCAAATTTTGTTGCTTCACTTTTTTCTTTTTTCTTTGATAAATTAATTTTGATAAAAAATTTACTGAAATAAATTTTAACAAGATTAACAGGTGTGAATTAAAAAGATACTAATCGTATAACAATGGATATGTTTTGTCAAAATAGGACTTCGACAGCAGTAACAGTTTGGACACCAGCATTCATTGGTAATAATGCCATAATGAATCGTTGTGATACCGTTAGTATTCGTAATCCCCTATCATTATCATTGTTATCATCATCATCACCATCATCATCATCATCATCATCATCATCATCATCATATTGTCGTCGTCGTTATCATCATCATCATCATCATCATTAGCAGCAGCAGCAGGAGCATCATCGTCATCATCGTCATTGACATCAACATCAGCTACAACAGTTATATCAACATCGAAATCAACAACATCGTCATTTGAAATAGCTGCATTATTAGGGAAGAAAGGTGTCTTAAACGAAACTAAAAATCATCATCATCAAAAACAACAGCAACAACAACATCATCATCATTATTTCGCACTTTATTCGAAATCTATGAAACAAAAATGGTTAACGGGACATCAACAACAACAACAACAACAACAAGTGCAACGTCGTTTGCATTCACGTAAACAGCAACTTATAATCGCTGGATTGGGTTTGACTTTTTTTTTGATTCATCTTCTAATGACTGTATCATTGTTGGCAGTAATAGTAATATCAACAATAGAAATATGAATAATGACAATACTGTTACTAATACTAATAATAATAGTAAAAATAATAATAATAATAATAATAATAATAATAATAATAATAATAATAATAATAATAATAATAATAAAAATCACTTAAATTTAAAAAAATTCTTTTTTAGTATTTAAATTTGTTAAATTACAATTTAAATATACTCTTACATGTTTAAGTCATTACTTTTAGTACTAGACATTCTATCTAAATTTTTTGCTTACCATAATTAATTCACATATTTACTTGAATATGTCTTACGAACTTTTTTAGGCGAACTTACCTGTAATGAATTACTTTACCTTTCTTTTCTTTTTTTTTTACTCAAAACCTTGCAGGTTTATGTTAATCTTCATTTAATTAAATCCTGATAAAATTTTCTTTTTTTTAATTAAATTAAAGAAACAAAAATAAAATATAATAAATGAAAGGTCGGAATTCAATTGGTCATTGAAAAAAATAAAAAATTCTAATTAAAAATTTACCTTTTAGTTGCCGTATTATTAATTTTGTTTGCTTCCTATTTTCACTATAATTATCTCAATTATCATT